AATATCAAAGAGAAATAGAAATTATGATTTTAAAAAATCGTTCCTTAATATTCATATTTAGTAGGAAATTTTCTCCTCTTTAAAAATATTTTTTCAAATTTCGGATATTTTCCGAGACATTTGCAAAAAAACAAACCCCTTTTTTTTACTAAATTGTTTACAAAATTGTTTATACTTTTTGCAATTTTCCCGAGCCCTTGAAATGTTTAAAAAAGTTGTTAGAGGTTATTCCGAATCCAATGAGCCCTGGATCATAATTATCGGTGCCTATGGACAGAAGTTCCAATAAAAGGATCTTGTGACCCAGACTAACAGATTCACCTTCATGTATGTTATGCGTTTTTTCGGTCATACATTTTTCAATGTTTTTTTAAGGACCGGCTTGAACATTTTTTTAATTTTTTCTCGAGAGTTCTTCAGTTTTTTTGTTACATGATCTAATGAATTGTTCTTTCATGCATAAAATAATTAGCTCTCCAAAATTACAGTAATTCAGTTCACTAGTTGAAAATGGTGAAAAATAGCAATAATGGTCGATAAATACGTGCGTAGCTCGCTCGATAGAATAGAATAGAATAGTATTGTCATCATCACAACAGTTGTCATCGTCTCCGATGTCATTAGTATAATCAACGAGATCTGAGGCATTAGTGTAACTTTCACCTCTGTACCCCTTGTATGATCGGGTGCACTTCATCCCTGATGTTTTGCAGCTGCAAGTTTCACTGCAGTTAGATACTGTGCAACTACAATGAACTAGTTTCAGTAATTTTGAAGCTGCCAATGGTTCTGTTGTTTTCATGGGCAAAAACAGAGTCTCTGTTTTTTCCTATCCTTAATCTTTAGCTGTTGAAGGATTGTTCAGCCATGTTTGGACTTGATAATAAGTTCTCGAAGAATGTTGAAGAGTTGCTGAAGCGGTCGGCGTTCGTAACAGCCCTGTTGCGTGGGTTTTGTATAAATTTTCAACTTCGTTTCTCAAAGTTGAATCTCTCAAAATTGAATTCTAATAGTGTGTTCACCTTAATTGAAAATGAAGCTTACTGTGTCACAGCCAGTAAAAGCATGGGCGAACAGTTAATACATTTTTCAATGTTTTGTTGTTATTAGATTTAATCTTTAGCTGTTGAAGGATTGTTCAGCCATGTTTGGACTTGATAATAAATTCTCGAAGAATGTTGAAGAGTTGCTGAAGCGGTCGGCGGGAATGTTGCTAAGATTATTGTCTTCCTTTTGTAACAATCACCGAAAAACGGTCTATTCTAAATGGATTTATAGAATATAAATCAGCTCCAAACAGTTTCAAAATTATTCGTTCTCCAGCGTTCGTAACAGCCCTGTTGCGTGGGTTTTGTATAAATTTTCAACTTCGTTTCTCAAAAT